GCGGGAAATTCGGTTGTTTGTTTCCAAAGAATAGTTATTAATGCGGCGAGGGATATGAAAACTTGTTGTTTACATAATTCATAATCTGAATCAATGGATAAGATTTTTTTTCCTTCTCGAATTGGCCCGTGCAGGATGAATATGAAAAAATTATTAAAAAGCGCTTGCCTGCCTCTCTGAATATTTTGCTGCTTCATGTCTTGCTTCAAAAGAAAGATTTTTGTTCATTTATAAAAGAAGCAAAGCCTTGAAATTTTACACAATACAATTTGAATGAACCCTATGACAATCTATTTATAACTTCTTTTTATGAGGCCTAATATTCTAATTGCTGATCATCTTCTGAACTTTTTGCCATTTACTTAACCGTTTTTAGGGTTTTCTTATTTAAAGCTTTCTTGTTTCATAATAAATGGTAAATTTTTAGAATGAAGTGCGGCAACAGGGAATCATGTCTCTAAGGCCCCAAGTCATTTGGCATCATAGCCTGGCCAGATTCGTATTTGTTTATAATTTTTTTTAGGGGCATTTACATACATACCACCTAATTGCTATGTATTTCCACATGTAACGCCAGAACTCTAATTTTTACATGTATGCCATCCAAATCTTTCATTTCACATAAAAAATACCATCATTTTAACTTTTAAAATATTAAATACATCTTTCAATCCATATGTATGGTGGTATGTATGTAAAAATTGAAGTATTGTGTAAATACAGAGTGTGTAAAAATTGAAGTAGTATGTGTGAAATTCTTCCTTTTCTTAAATTATGACAGATCAACGAGGCACACGAGCATCATAAATGTTGTGTGATCTGCTGTAGTTTGTGGTTATGTTTTCTATTAGAATGAAAATACAATTTGAACGCCCAACTATGTTGCTCATGTCTGTGCATTGTACAAAAAGCATATCTTAGTTTTATTAACCTTACGTTTTTCATGATATTCCTATAAATCAGTGGTTCATGTACATGGAAATGTTTTGATGTTATAATTTCTAGATTTTCAATTGCTTACATTATGGCTTATAGTTTATTGCTTTTCTTCTTTTTTACTTTTTATGACTAGAATGGATACTCTAAGAAGGCATCTTCCTGTTGCTGTTCCTGAAGGAATGACTGAACTCAAGAAAATTGCTGTACGATTTGAAGAAAAGATTTATACTGCTGCTGTAAATCAGGTGCATGCATTTTGCTGTACTTTCTAAAACTCTTGATTGATTTCACACAAATTAGCATCTATATAACAAATGTCCTGAAAACATTAGTGATGCTCTTGGCTTCTGATTAAGGTACACCAGGCAATGTATCGATTTTAAACTAACTAGCTCTGATACTTGATTGTATCAAATTCCACTCCATTGCAATCTTTCAGAGCGGTTTCCCACTTTGCATACCTACTGAGGAGATCAATCATTATATTTTTGAGCTGAAAAGTTTAGTATTTAATATGTAGCACTTTGAACAAGGCATTTTGATAGCCTCATGTTTTGTTTTATTTGGATTATAATGGAGTATGGAAGTGTGCAGGCTTTGGGCTTCAAATTATGTTTGATTTTTGATACTCTTTTAAAAATAGAAGTTATACTTTCACCACTATTGTCTTTCCATGCGCTTGGAATCTCATTTTTTATTTTCACATTTTTCATGATACTCAGTCAGATTATCTAAGAAAGATTTCCTTGAAAATGCTTTCAATGGAGACGAAGACCCAACAAAATACTCCAATGAACCCACAAACTAGTGTTAACCAAAATTCTACAGACACAGGTAACAAAATTTTAGTATATTTCTTGCAATGAATATAGAGCTTTGTTTTTCGTACTACTATCTGAATTATAATTGAAATTCTGGTTTCAACTTAGATTATTTTCTTATATTGTTTTTTGCTTCCTTGAAAACTTGCATGTGTTATCTATTACATTCAAAATATTCTCATCATTTTTTTTATTGTTTATGAATAAAAAAAGTGATAAAAAAATGTTTATCATGTTTGAAAATGATGGTGACTGAACCTTTCATGGCCTCGCAATTTTTACACGATCTCACACAAATTGCTTGCTTTCTATTCAATAAGAGGAAATCACTCTTGTTGTTTTAAATTTGTTTAGAACAACTAGTGATTTTGAGGCCTTTGGTTCCTAGAGTGAACTTTACACTGATAATTTATTCTAGATAAAATTTATTTTATAGTCTAACCTTTTGCTAGTTAATAACTAAATGGCGCCCTTCTTTTCTCACTAATTGAGGGTGTTGTTATACTTATTATTATTATTTTTTTCTTTTTAACACAGACATATCAGATAAAACTATAAAAGACAAATCAATTCAGGAGTGTTTTATTTAAATCATGACTTATATTTATTTCTGCTTTTTATATTTCACAATTATTTAAGTTAGACTATATGGTCTAAGCATGGCTAGATTTTATACTGTATTGACTCATATTAATAATGAATTAGCTATTTTTATTGCTGCCCAATGATTATACTTTTTATGTTGTGTTTTTATAGTTATTTGAAAAATAAGGAGCATAAATTTTTGAAAAAATTCAACTGTTAAACTTGCTCATTTTATACTCAGCTAACGTGGTTGGAAAAGTTTTAATCTAGAAATAATCTGAGGGAAAAGTCTAAAGGCATGGCTAATGATGGAATTTTATTAATATCAATGTTGATTTGATCTATATTGACTTATTTAGGAATTAGTGAGCTAGATAATACGTCCTTATGAAAGCTGATACCTGACGATGATGATGAAAATATGTTTGGTATGTTAGAACTTATATTAGGGCGATTTTCTTGAATGGATGAGTGAAAAATCCATTTTTCATAAAAATGAAATTATCTTAGGAAATGGAAACAGTTTTTTGTGATGCAATGATAAATTTTCATGTTTTTAAAGGCCAAGTAATCTTATGTGTGTGTATATATATATATATATATATAT